AGTTCCAAGTACAATAGTATCATAAGTATCATCCATGGCTAACTAATTAATGTTCTTACTAGTTCTTAGTTCTTACATTTATAGTTCATCTAATTATTAATTTTGTTAGTTTTATAATAAGAAAAAGTATTTTCTGGACCTTCTCGAATGTTTTGTATATTAATATTACCTTAATAAAAAACAATAAATAATAATTTGGTAATTTCACTAAATCTTCTTTATTTTCTTTTGTATTTTGATTTATTTTTTTTTTTTTGAATATAACTTGTTGTTATTGCTTCTCTCTAACTTAAAAAACTTCAGAATTTATTAAATGTGTTATAAACATCAAATTGTATTATTTTTCATTTTACAATTATTATTTGTTTATTTCATAATAAATAAAATATGATACAATTCTTAAAAACATGAATAAAAGCAAATTATATTATTCAATAAAAAATTTTAATGTTTTTTTTATCAGTAAGTTTGAGTTAATATTTAAAATATGTCTTTCTCACTTACATTTTTGAAAATAAAAAAATCAATAAAAATTAAAAATATTGTTCATTATAACAATCTTTTTTTTAATTTTCCTTCATTAATGTTATTCTGTTAATCTTCAAACAAAACACTCCTCTTTCAAATACTCATTCCTTTAAGTAACTAGTAAAAACAAACTATCATTATAATTATTTCAGTAAATTTTATTATAAAAGAGAAAAACACAAATATTGATTTGAGATGATAAATAAAAATTAACAAAAGACAAGAAATGAAGATTTTAACCCTTTATTGAAAAGATGGAATATTAATATTCATACATTTTCATACACTTCAATCTTTTGTTTATAAATTCTTCAAAATACTCTTAATGATAAAAAAAATTATTAAATACATTGGTTTATTGTTTTATAAGTTTTAAATTAAAGTTTGATATAACTTAAATAAATAATCAAAAACAAAATTTAAAAATTTTAATAAATAAGATATAACTTACAAATAACAACAACAAATCATTTTTTATAATTTGTTGTTCTAATTCAAACGTATTTTTTATCTCTTTATTCTAAATGAAAATTCTAATAGTATAAACCATTTATTAATATATTTAAATATAAAATATTACAATTGTATATTATATCATTTAATTTATTCATTAAAAAAACCTTAATTATTAAATGTTCTTATAATTAAACTTTCTCCATATAAAAAAATGATTATTTCAGTTTCTTCAATAGATATATTTCTGTTTACTTTTTATTAAGTAATACTTTAAATCAAATACAAAAATAGTTCTACTTTATTAAATACATAATTCATAGTATTATTATAGAATATTATTTTTTATTAATTAGAAGCATTATCAGTATTTTATTAAAAATCTATCAATAATTTAATATTCATGTTAAATTAATGAAATGAAAATTTCTATAATTTAAGCAAAGAATGAATATACTTAAATTTATAATGAATGAAAAATATGATTTTACTACAATTTTCAATAAATTATGAACTGAATTATGTTTTAAAAGAATGTTATGAATAACATAACGATACAAATAAATAAAAAGATATAATAAAAAGAAACTAAATATGAAAGAAAAATTAGAAAAACCCTAGAACTATTTTTTTTGCACACAACAACCAATGGCTGTCAGAGTAACTTATGTAAGAAAACATTCATACAACACCAAATCTAATGGAATTAGAATTGTTAAAACTGCTGGAGGAAATATGACCGTTCAACACAGACAAAAAATCTCTAATGGAGTTAGATGTGGTGATTGTGGATGTGTCCTTGCTGGTATTAGACACATTAGACCACATCAATATGGATGGTTAGGAAAGAGCAAGAGAACTGTCACTCGTGCATATGGAGGAGTTAGATGCCATAAATGTGTTCAAAAGAAAATCCTCAGAGCTTTCTTGATCAATGAACATAATTTGATCAAATTAGCTGCTGCTAAGACCAATCTTGAAAAGAAACAAAGTGTTAAAGAAGATAAGAAGAAGGCTACTAAGACAGTCAAGAAGGCTGACAAGAAGACCCAAAAGAAATAAAGTAATTCATAATAATGGGTGTATTTTCTCTTCTTTATTTTTTTTTAATTATTTTATAATAAAAAATATTATACTTTTTAATTTTAATTAATAACACAAAAAAAAGGAAAAACAAATAATTCCTGTTTCACTATTATTCTGAACAGGGTTTTCTTATTTGAGATAGGAACTTGATATTTTGTTTTCCAAGCAAAAAAACATGGGAAGCTACTCTATTTACAACGCTCAT